TTTTTTTTTAAGAAAGAAAAGAAAAAGAATGCAGTTTTCCTCTTCCCCTTTCCACAAGCATACTACCTTTTTCCTTTCCAGCTTGTATTCCTCAATCACACATCTTTGTTTTCCCTTATGGTTTAAGCCCTATAAACTAATCTGTATCCATTCTCTGATACTGTATCCATACTCTGTCTTCCTTTCTGTTTTTTTATTTATTTTTGAGACAGAGTCTCGCTTTGTTGCCCAGGCTAGAGTGAGTGCCGTGGCGTCAGCCTTGCTCACAGCAACCTCAAACTCCTGGGCTCAAGCGATCCTCCTGCCTCAGCCTCCCAAGTAGCTGGGACTACAGGCATGCGCCACCATGCCCAGCTAATTTTTTGTACAAAAAATATTAGTTGGCTTATTAATTTCTTTCTGTTTATAGTAGAGACAGGGTCTCGCTCTTGCTCAGGCTGGTTTCGAACTCCTGACCTCAAGCAATCCGTCCGCCTCGGCCTCCCAGAGTGCTAGGATTACAGACGTGAGCCACCGCGCCCGGCCTTCCTTCCTGTTTTAATGGAATAATAATTTTTCCTATCAAAGATCAGCTCCTCTGTGCTCTTATGGCCATGCTTCTTGTTTACTCAAAGGCTTCCATTTACCCCTTTTCTCCCTCAATTTCTTCTTTCTTATTTGAAGATTCCCATTACCATACAAGCATGCTCCTAGCATCTCCTATTTTAGTAAAAACCTCTCCTTGACTCCAATTCCCTCTCCAACTAGTGCTTCATTTCTCTGTTTCTTTGCACGGCAAAACTTTTTTTAAAAGCTGTTTATACTGACTGTTGCCACTTCCTTACCTTTCATTGACTCCATTCTGGCTTCCTTCCAGGAAGCCATCACTCCATTGAAGCAGCTTTAGTCAAGGTCATTAGTGACCTCCATGTTGCTGAATGCTATTGCTGTTTCTCATCTTACTCAGCCTCTTATAAACATTGGACACAGTTGACAAGTCCCTTTTTAAAATACTTTCTTCTCTTGGCTTCCATGGCACCATTCTCTCAGTTTCGTTTCCTGAATTCTCCTCCTCCATTCAACCTTTAAAGTTGGTTTGCCCCAGGGCTCAATTCTAGACTTACAACATCCACATGCGGCTACTGAGCACTTGAAATGTGGCCAGTCTGAAATGAGATATACAGTAACATAAAATATGCCCTGGATTTGAAAGACTTAGAATGAAAAAAGTGAATGTAAAATATCTCAATAATTTTTTTATATGAGTATACGTTGAAACAATATTTTGGATACATTGGGCTATTAAAATTAGTTTAATCTATTTTTTTTAAAGTTTTTAATATGGCTGCTAGAAAATTTAAAGTTATACATGTGGCTCTCACCTGTGTGGCTCACATGTATTTCTGTTAGTGCTGCTTAGACCCTCTTCTCTATCACCCTTGTCATTTCATCATCTTATTTAGTTTCATAGCTTTAAATACCATCTATATGTTGATTCTGAAATTTAGGCCTCTAACTCTGACCTCTCATTTAAAGTCCAGACTTAGCTACCCAGGTGGCATTTGAATTTTCACTTGCATGTCTAACAGACATCTCAGGATTAATATGTCAAAAATGAAATGTTCTATTTCCTCCAGACCCATTATGTTAACTTGCTGAGTTTCTCATCTCAACCAATGGTACCATCCATCATCTGTCCAGTTGCTCCCAGTTGCTCAAGCCAAAATCTTGAGTCATCCTTGATTACTCTGTTTTCCTCACCCACTTTATCTAATCTTCCAGCAAGTCTTGTTGGTTCCAACTTCAATTTTTCCTCATCTCTACTGCCCAAGTGGCTCAAGTCTAAACTACTGTCATCTCTCACCTAGACTTCTGTGACTGTGATGACATGACTATTGGTGTGAATCCATGAGCTTCCCAACTCATTGATTCTATTCTTGCACCATTACAGTGTCTGCTCCATATCTCAGAGTAATCTTTTTAATTTTAATCATTTAATTAATAGTTATTTATTTATTAACTTATTAATAATTTATTTAATTATTTAATAGTTGTATATCTTTTCAGAGTGATCCCTTTTAAATATAAATCACATCATGTCATTTCTCTTTTTAAACACTCCAATGACTTCCCATTGTACTTAGAATGAAATCCAAACCTACCTTAGCTTGCAAGGCCCACCATGAGTCTGATCACTACTTATCTCCCTAACCTTATCCCATGCCACTCTTCCTCTTTGTTGTAACAATCTCTAACCTCACCAACCTTCCTTCTGTACTTGAATCATGTCAAACTTATTACTGCCTAAGGCCTTCTGTATGGTATTCTTCCCCCTGCCTCAAATACTCTGGTCCCAGAATTTTGTATAGTTGGCTCCTCTTCATTCTTCAGGTTTCAGCTCAAATATTACCTTCTTAGACCATTCTTGCAAATAGTATCTTATCCTAGTCATTTTCAATCCAATCATACTCACATACTCTCTCTTTCTTTCTCTCATAGAAATGTTTTTTGTTTTTTTCCTTTTTAGTGTCTGTCTCCCTTTAAAAGTGTAAACTCTTCAAGAGTAGAGATCTTAGGTATGTTATTTGCCCTTGCATTCTCAACATTTGGTATAAAGTTTGATCCAGAGTAGGCACTAAAGGTATTTTTGAATGATAAGTTTCAAAATAAATATTAATTAAATGGATTTTTTAAAAGAACGAATGAATAAAAATATTTTTGGAATGAATAAATTCGTTTTAAAATAAATAATATGGAATGCCTTAGAAACTAAGGTATAACTTAAGGAGTTATGCATTAGGCCTTACAGATATTAATTCCTTAATGTTACTGAATTTGTTATATCAGCAAATATTGAGGACCTAGCATTCGCAAAGCATACTGTCTATTCCCTTAGAACTGGGAGAGTCAAAAGAGTAGTGGGACACTGAGCCTCTGAGAGGCAAAGTGGAGAGATGACCTTAAATGAGAAAGGGGTATGTGTGTGTGTATGTTTTGGGGGAATCCAGAGCAGGTGTTAGTAAAATTGATAGCAGCTCCCCTGAGTCCAATTTTACCTAAATTTTTAACTCTAGTAGGAATCATGGCTATTATTTCCTTAGCATGTGAGTCAGTGCTATACATAGTAGGGTTTCAATAAATGCTTTTTGGTAGACTAAAGAAATAAATTTGTGGCTGGGCGCGGTGGCTCACGCCTGTAATCCTAGCACTCTGGGAGGCCGAGGAGGGTGGATTGCTCGAGGTCAGGAGTTTGAAACCAGCCTGAGCAAGAGCGAGACCCCATCTCTACTATAAAAATAGAAATAAATTAATTGGACAACTAACATATATAGAAAAAATTAGCCGGGCATGGTGGTGCATGCCTGTAATCCAGCTACTCGGGAGGCTGACGCAGAAGGATTGTTTGAGCCCAGGAGTTTGAGGTTGCTGTGAGCTAGGCTGACGCCACGGCACTCACTCTAGCCTGGGCAACAAAGTGAGACTCTGTCTCCAAAAAAAAAAAAAAAAAAAATAAACAATACAAACACACCTAATCAGCATCTGGGAGGCCAAGGTGGGTGGATCATTTGAGCTCGGAGTTTGAAACCAGCCTGAGCAAGAGTGAGACCCATCTCTACTAAAATAGAAAGAAATTAATGGGCCAACTAAAAATATATAAAAAAAATTAGCTGGGCATGGTGGCGCATGTCTGTAGTCCCAGCTATTCAGGAGGCTGGGGCAGGAGGATTCCTTGAGCCTAGGAGTTTGAGATTACTGTGAGCAAGGCTGATGCCACGCACTCTAGCTCAGGCAACAGAGTGAGACTCTGTCTCAAAAAAAGAAAAGAAAAGTCTTAAAATGACTGACTTCATATGATATTGGAAGTGTCTAAGAACCAAATGAAAAAGAATGCACATAAACTGAAAATTATAAGGTAGAAGTTTGGTTGAATTGAACACTCAGAGGTATACTAGCCTGAGGATTTGGGATAAAAATAACAATTCATTCTTCTTATCCTGTTTCACGCCCCCAGAGTTGAATCAAACTCAGAGTTTCTGTTAATCTCACGAGAGGATTCCAAATACACAAATCAGGAAAACAGAGGGGGAGGGGAAATCTTTGAAAGTTAAACAACAAAAACATCTATCTAGAGGGCATCTCATTTTTTTCCCAATCCAAATTAGATCTACGATGACATGTAAATGAAAACTAAGGATGATGTCGATCATGAATGTATTATCCGGTTGTGATAATACAGGACAGATATATCTGTGTCCAGACTGTGCTTCTGTTGTGGTCTATTTTAGGGAGTTTCTGGATTTGGATCTAAAAGTGATATCTGGAAAAGAGATAATAATTTGTGCTTACATAGTGCTCTTCATCCAGATGTCTCAAAGCACTTTACAAAGAAATAAGTATTATTATCCCAGATGGAGCAACTCAGACAGAGGGGCTGCTGCCCTTTGTAGCCAATTGGGGAGTGGAAGCCCTGAACTCCAAACATAGCCCTAGGCTACAAACTATTGAATCATGGTTTCTTTTGATTGGGTGCTGGCGCTACCAATGAAGAGCCCCTTTTCCCTTTGAAATAAAGCAGAACATTAGGCTCTAATGTTAAGAATTTTAGCACATGTTCAAAATTTATGAAAATGGATGCTTAAAAAAACTGCTGAATTTTGGGCAAAGTATGGCTACTTAAAATAAGACAAATGGTTATTATAGCGAGACTAATAATGGCTAACATGTGCTGAACATTATTCTAAGTGAGTTATATATATTATTTTATTAAGATCATAACATTCTTTTCTTTTCTTTTCTTTTCTTTTCTTTTCTTTTCTTTTCTTTTCTTTTCTTTTCTTTTTTCTTTTTTTTAAGAAACAGGGTCTTACTCTGTTGCCAGGCTAGAGTGCAGGGTATCATCATAACTCACTGCAACTTTGAACTCCTGGGTTAAAGCTGCACAGGTTCAGGACAGTAACCCTGGCTAATTTTTTAATTTTTTTGTAGATTTGGGGTCTCACAATTGCCGGCTGGTCTCGAACTCCTGGGCTCAAGTGATCCTCCTGCTTTGGCCTCCCAAAGTGCTGGGATTGCAGCCATGAACCACCGTGCCCAGCTTCATACCAGTTTTAATGAGGTAGGAACTATTATCATTTTATTCATTTTACAGTTGAGGAAATTGAGACAGAGAAGTTAAGTAACTAGGCGAAAATGTCAATTAAACAAGTGGCAGAGCTGGAATTCAGACATAGGCAATTTGACTGCATTGCCCTCACTCTTAGCAAGTTGCTCTGTGCCAGGTACTAAATGAGGCATTTTGAGTGAATTATCTAACTTAATCCTTACAAAACTCCTAAGAGGTAAATATATTAACATCAAAATTTTATTAGGGAAAGAAATTAAGGGTTAGAAAGGTAAAGTGACTTGCTCAAGCTCATATGCCAGTAGGGATGAAGCCAAAACTTTGAAAAGTAGACAAGAGAGCAATAGGGAAGGAGTCAGGGTATTAGGCTATTCCTTCCACTAACTAGGCTGTGTGACCTTGGACAAATCAAATAATCTCCATGGTCTTCATATCTTTCTCTGAAAGGAGAATGTTGAGCCTACATTGACACTAAAGTCTTTCCCAGTGCTAAAGTTCTGATTCTCAGTATCTGTTTTCTATTTAGTCCCTTGTTTGAAAATCCTTGGAGGAAAAGAAATTAACCACACAGAACCTGAAAGTGACTCTGGAAGCCAAATTTAGAAAGCAGATCTCAAAAGGAAAAAAAAAGAAGTTTACAAAATGTCTTTATTTAGAAAGTGAGACTGTCCTGTAAAGTGTTTGGCTTGATTTGTGAGACTCAGTGGCCAGATAAAGGCTACACATAGCTCCTTGACTAGCCAGTTTTCCTGGATATAGAAAGTCATGTAACCTGCTTCAGTGGCACTTTTGCTTCAGTGGCCTATTACACTGGCTACACTGGCTAAAGCTGGAAGAAGCCCATCTTGTGTGGGAGGGATCTGAGAAAAGAAGCCAAGCTTTTCATGTGGGTGTTCTATCTTGAATTCAGAATGTCTATACCATTCTGTCTACTTCTGTTTTTGTTCTTAGTGATTATTATATAGTGACACAGCCCACTGCTACCATGAACCAGTTTTTTCACAACCCTGTGGTGAGCCATGGTGTAGTGAACAGGTCTGGCTTCCATTTCTCCATGTGGTTCTGTTCGAAAGTATGGGCTTGAGTTTGTGATAAATCTTGGCTAAAAAAAAGCTATCTGTAGCTTTGTGATCTTGGGAAAAGCACTGAGATTCTCTGTGTGTCAATTTTCCTCATCTTTTTGTAAAATGATGCTTATCCTACTTGCTCTTCATTGTTACGGATTTCAAATAGTATATTTGTGGAAGTAGTTTGGAGAGATTAGAGCCTTCTTAGATGACAATGAAAGTGATGCTGAGAGAATGCCTCTCACTCAGAATCCTGGTGGTGTGTGCACAGAGCAGGTGCTTTGGCAATGAGCAAACCTGAATTACAGTCCTTGCTCTGCCTGTCATTTGGACAAGTCATTAAACCTCTATAAATTTTCAATTTGTAAAATGCAATGTTGTTGATGCACAGAAGTAATAAACATGAAGCTCCTGACACACAATAAACCATTAATAAATAATAGCTATTACTATTTTTATTATCGACTATTGAATTATGATGCAGAGTTAGCAGGTTCAGAATACCAGGTCTTATTTTCTAAGACATGCATTCAATTTGAACTCCAGGAAAAACAATGAATTTGGTTGTCATTCTAGGAAACCAACTACCCTAAATGGCTGAGGCCAAATCTGGAAGTTTATCCTCATACACATCACACCTTGAGGAAATGTATTTTAAAAAGTACCTTTCTTTCCTTTAGAAGGCTCTGCCTAAATCCCTACCTTCTATGACTGCAAGAAGTCTAAGAGATTGTTAGGATCTCAAAACTTACCCTTGTATTCTAAGTTTCTCTTAACAGGATATAATTATAGTGAAATAATTCCCAACTCTTTTTAGCATGAGAATCTCATTTTAAGGTAAAAAAAATTTCAAGAAATTCCACATAATAGTTCTACTTTAAGTAGCCTTTGAGAAAATACATGATAAATATTCAGCAACACTGAAAAATTAGAGATAGTCCCTTTAAAAATTTTTGTAAGCACATGAACTTGATAGACTATTTACAGGGTACAAAAGGGAATACCATAAAAGAATCCTTCTTGCTACCCATCCTTCAGTCACATATTGCCCTTCCCCGGAGCCAATTATCATATCAATTTCTGCTGTGTCCTTTCAGAGTTAACTATTCACCACAAACACTTACATATTTATCATTTTAAAAAAGACAAAATGGTGGCATATCTTACTACCTTCTTCACCTCACTTTTTTTCACTTACCAATGTCTTGCTATACTTTGTTGTACTTTGAAATAGATATGTTAAAAAAAAAGACTACATACTTTTATTCATCATGGCATGTGCTATTGAAAATTGCATTGCATTTTTTTTTTTTTTTTTTTGAGACAGAGTCTCATTTTGTTGCCCAAGCTAGAGTGAGTGCCGTGGCGTCAGCCTAGCTCACAGCAACCTCAAACTCCTGGGCTCAAGCGATCCTACTGCCTCAGCCTCCCGAGTAGCTGGGACTATAGGCGTGTGCCACCATGCCCGGCTAATTTTTTCTATATATATCAGTTGGCCAATTAATTTCTTTCTGTTTATGGTAGAGACGGGGGTCTCGCTCTTGCTCAGGCTGGTTTCGAACTCCTGACCTCGAGTAATCCGCCCGCCTCGGCCTCCCAAAGTGCTAGGATTACAGGCGTGAGCCACCGCGCCCGGCCTGCATTGCATTTTTTAATATACAGAAAATCCTAGTGTGCAATTACTATATACCACTTAGAGATTCTCAGCTCTTAATTGGGAACCATGGGTATAAATAAAATATCAATAATATTCAAGATAATTTTTGCCCTTACTCTGCACCAGGCATTGTTCTAATCACTTTACATATTATCTCACATAATACACATCCTCCTCATCCTTTTAGTCTCAGTTTAAATGTTATCTCCTCAGAGAAGCGGTCCCTTATCCAAGTAGACCTACCGTAGCTTTCCCCTTTCCATTATTCTCAATTGTTTCATCCTGTTTATTTCCTTCAGGATACTCATCCCTGCAAATAATTAGTTACTTATTTGTCTGCTTGTTTACTCTTGTCTCCCTAACTAAAGTACAAGCTTTCAGAGGAGGGACAGTGTCAGTTTGGCTCAGCACAGAATACCCAGTAACTAGTACAGTGGCTTAGTACTTGGCACAGAGGAGCCATTCAACTGAATATTTATTGAATAAGTACATATTGAGCAAAAAACAGCTTTATGAGATTGACTCTATTATTTATTCCATTATACTAATGAGGAAACTAACACCGAAAGAGTGAAATAGACTTAATCCCAAAGTTAGTAAATTACAAAATTGGTTTAAAATCCAGCTGTACTTGACTCTAGAGCACAAGCTCCTTTACCACTATTCCAGTCTTGGAAACAGAAGACTAAGTATAATTCTGGCTATCTGAGATCCTGAGTAAGTCCCTTTTCTCCTCTGGGACTTTTTCTTTCATTGAAAAAGAAGAGAGTCAATGTAGCCATCTTCCTTATGGCTATGTTTTGTGATTTATGAGAACTGTGATCTATGAGAATGAAAGAGGGGACATTGAAGTGGCCAATGAGCTTGGCCTGATGCTTTTAAGAGTGCTAATGTTGGCCGGGTGTGGTGGCTCACTCCTGTAATCCTAGCACTCTGGGATGCCGAGGTGGGTGGATTGCTCTAGGTCAGGACTTCAAAACCAGCCTGAGCAAGAGCGAGACCCCATCTCTACTATAAATAGAAAGAAATTAATTGGCCAACTAATATATATAGAAAAAAATCAGCTGGGCATGGTGGCACATGCCTGTAGTCCCAGCTACTCGGGAGGCTGAGACAGCAGGATCACTGGAGCCTAGGAGTTTGAGGTTGCTGTGAGCTAGGCTGATGCCACGGCACTCTAGTCTGGGTAACAAAGCAAGACTGTCTCAAAAAATAAAATAAAATAAAAAAAGAGTGCTAATGTTTACTTCTTTTCTTCTTTCCCACCTTCCTTCACTGAAAATTTGCTGATCTTTCTTTTATGCCAGGCATTTTGTTGGAGGTGACAGGGATCCAAAGACTAATAGGAGATAGTACTTAACATTGAGGTGCCTGGCTCGGTGGAAGATGCAGACCCATTAACAGCTGCTTGGAGTACAGTATGGGCCAGTGCCATAATAGTAATACTATGTGTGAGACACACAGTAATACAGAGGAGGACGGGATTAATTCCATCATGTATGTATCTGGTAGTGGGACTGGAGGCGGATATAGGAAAGGGGATGAGGTATAATACTGAGCTGGGCCTTGGGGACAGAAGGATTTTCCAGGTGGATGAGGTGGAGATGAGGCTTCCTGGACACAAGAGACATGGTGTGTAGAAGCGCACTGAGACACAGCATGGTGTGCTGCAGGTTGCTAGGGTAGGAGGTCAGCTCTCAAGCTATGAAGCTGGCTAGGTAGAAGTAGCCCATGAAGAACCTCGCAGAAGAGTTTGGACTTTACTCCTGAAAGCAGTGGCATGGCCAAATCATATTTACATTTCATTTTTAGAAAGATCACTCTTGCAGTGCTAGGAGTGGAGGTGGGCAATGAGGAAAAAGGGATGGAGTCTAGTTAGGAGGCTTTGAAGTTATCCAGGTGAGAGATGATGAGGACTTGTACATAGGTATTTGCAGCAGAGTTGGAAAGGAAGTGGATAAATAGTAGATTTTTAAAAGGTAGTGCCAAAGGACTCGGTGACTGATTGGAGGAGGGAGAATGAGAGATGAACTAAGGGATTTATTGTAATGGATTGGGTGGCCAAGTATAAAATGATGCTGTTAATAATGATAGGGAATTTGGAGTGGGGTGGGAGAAATCATGCTGTTGGCTTTGCATATATTGAGTTTAAGCTGTCTCTTAGACAGGAGGAAAAGTGTAGCTCCCTCCTTCCTTTCCAGAATAGCAATCCTAGCCTAAGTCAGACATCCTTGGGCCGGTTTCCTGTGGGGCCTAGTCAGGGATAAAATTCTCCAAAATCTCACTGGCATCCTTGAGCTCAACATCCTTCAAAGATAGAAGCTGGATATTGAAAACTCTCTGGACCTTCATTGATAGGAGAATGAATTATGAACCCCTTTTTTTGTTTGTTTTGTTTTTTGGTGGTGGTGGTGGTATGTATGTGTGTGTGTTTAAATCAGATACTGGCTTCAGTGGAGCACACTCTTCTGCCTCTTGCAAGCTTCAGACTTGGAAAAAGAAACCATTTTCATGGAGTGGCCTCAGCCCTGACAGGCTCTGGCTCTCAATTGGCTCCCAAGAAGCACCCCCACCTCTCCTGGGGAGCAGATTTTTAAAAGAAGATGAGGTTCTATAAGGCTCAGCCTGGTCCCATGTGGCTGCTGGAGAAAAGCTCAGAGTCTCGGCGACTGGATATTCTCCCAACCACCGTCTCTGGTTAGGTGTCCTCAATGCCAAGGCTCCTTGTAGCCCCAGCTCTTTCCAAAATGACAGGGCTGGGATCCTCCCCTACCTCAACTCAAATATCCAGCGCTCACCAGGCGGTGGCAGGGCCGAGCACGTGGGATCATTTAGGGGCTGGCCTCCAGGGTCTACCCAGGGAAGGGGACAGCCCAGGAGGCAAGAGGCTGGCGGTAGCAACCTCTCTGGCTCCTCCAGCTGACGCCTTAAGGCAGGGGCACGCCCTGTGTCCCATTCCCACGTTCATAGGATGCTGCCAGAAGCCGTTATCTTTTCTTCGCCCTTTCCTCATGCACTACCCCCACTGTCATGCTGATAAATCCCACGAGCAAAGGGTGGCACGATTCCTCCCGCGCCCCAGCGGGCTGAAGGCGGGCACTAAAGCAGTGCAGTCCCAAGCTTCCCCTGCAGAAGCCGCGCTCCCCACTCGGTCCGAGGGTAGAGGGGGCGCGAGAGAGCAAGTGGGCGGGCGTCCCATCCTCCGCATCCTCCTCCAGGTCCTGGCGCGCAGGGTGGGAGCGCTGCGCTGCGCCGCGCTGCGCATCGCGGCCCGCTTGCCGCCTGCCCCCTGCCCTAGCTGGGTCACCTCCCCGGGCCGCCGGTGGAGGGCTGCGAGGCGCTAACGTTACGCTGTTTCCGGTTTTCCAGCGGGCTCTGTTTCCCCTCCCAAGGCGGCGGCGGCTGAGCGGCGGAGCCCCCCAAATGGCCTGGCCAGATGCGGCAGGTTTGCTGCTCAGCGCTGCCGCCGCCGCCACTGGAGAAGGCTCGGTGCAGCAGCTACAGCGACAGCAGCAGCAGCAGCGAGAGGAGCAGCAGCAGCAGCAGCGAGAGCGGCAGCAGCAGCAGGAGCAGCAGCAGCAACAGCAGCATCTCCCGTCCCGCTGCGCCCCCAGAGCCGCGGCCGCAGCAACAGCCGCAGCCCCGCAGCCCCGCAGCCCGGAGAGCCGCCGCCCGCTCGCGAGCCGCAGCCGCCGGCGGCATGAGGCGCGACCCGGCCCCCGGCTTCTCCATGCTGCTCTTCGGTGTGTCGCTCGCCTGCTACTCGCCCAGCCTCAAGTCGGTGCAGGACCAGGCGTACAAGGCACCCGTGGTGGTGGAGGGCAAGGTACAGGGGCTGGCCCCGGCTGGCGGCTCCAGCTCCAACAGCACCCGCGAGCCGCCCGCCTCGGGTCGGGTGGCGCTGGTGAAGGTGCTGGACAAGTGGCCGCTCCGGAGCGGGGGGCTGCAGCGCGAGCAGGTGATCAGCGTGGGCTCCTGTGCGCCGCTCGAAAGGAACCAGCGCTACATCTTTTTCCTGGAGCCCACAGAACAACCCTTAGTCTTTAAGACGGCCTTTGCCCCTCTCGACACCAACGGCAAAAACCTCAAGAAAGAGGTGGGCAAGATCCTGTGCACTGACTGCGGTGAGTCACCCCCTCCCTCTGCTAGAGAAAGGGGGGAGGGGCGAGGTGGTGGAGAATGGGGGTGGGGCGGGGAGGTGCTGCAGGTGCCCAGGCCTGGCAGCGTCCGGGCGCTGGGGGGTGGGGCCGCCCCTGGGCAGGGCGCCTGGCACGGGTGGGTGAGGGGGCTAGGGTTGGGGAGAAGGAGGATTAGGTTCAAAGTGTGCCAGGGGTGGGGGCTTGGGGGGGGGGCGCCGGTCAGTGCCAGCAGGGATCTGCGGCTGATGTATGGCATGTGGGGCTGGAAAGCTGCCATCATAGCCCAGTAGCGGAAGGAAAAACGGAGAGGTCCAGGCGGTGCTGGCCTGAGGCTCAGTGAGTCAGGAGTGACCCACGGAGGCCTTGCCCGCTCGGCTCCCACGGGCCTGCTGTGCCCAGGTTGGCAGGGTCTGCAGGAGCAGCTGGGCAGACTCCCAGGCTGTGAAGGCCTCAGCTTACAAGTTCTCCTAGGGAATGATCGCCCCCCGCCCCCTCCTTCCTCTCCTGGGTTTGCTGCTCTGCTCATCCACACCGCTGGCGTAGGCAGAGTTGGACTTTTTCTGCTACTGTTTTCCGTCCTCCATGTGGCTCCGGTGTTTTTCTCCATCGTGATTGCCTGTCTTTGCTGAGCGGGTAGCACAGCCTTCTTTTAACCTCCAAGACTAGCAAGCAGACACCTCTTTTGGCTATTTCTGGGGGATCTTACTAGGTCTGTCGATTGTGATGATGATGAAATAGAGTAACTTACTTCTGCTGAATGTTTTAAGTTAAGCTCTGACATCTTACTGGCCGGATGTATTGACAGCATCTCTCATCTTCATGATGTTGGGTGCTGCACAGGAATGCAGGTGATTAGAAACAAAACACTGAGATCTATAGGTCCCTGCAGCTGGGAATGGACGCCTCCCATGTCAGAAGTCAAAGAAATGTCAGTCTAAGAGCTTTTTCTTCTTGTCCCTGGTCCAGTACTTACTTCTCAGTAAAATATTTCGAATTGAATTATCCCCACACTAGAGTATTTGGTGTTAGCCTGTCTTGTGCTTATTCATATTGGGGTTTCATTTTGTGTCAACTAAGGCTGCATTTGTTGGCATGCGGTGTGTCTCTCTGGACTGTATAATCACTGAATTATGATAGATGTTCTGAACTCTCAGAGAAGTTGGTATATTTGCCAGTTTACCAACTGATTCTGGGTAGTATAGACAGGCTTTAAATACCAAAATATGTGTAACAGCTTATAGTAAGTTTTGCTGCCCTCATCTTTCTAGATCAATGCTCATGACTTTTGGAAGCTTCCCTCCCCCCACCCCCTTCAAGAGACAAATTTTAGGAGTTTAGCTGTGGGAGTATATCTAGGTACTATGTTAAACTGTGATCACTTTAGTGAGAAGTATCTTGGCAGTGTCTTAATAAAGAGGGGAAAAACTTTGGGGATAATAGCAGTTTATTGCTCTGACATTATCCTAAGGAATATTGTTGACTGCTTTTTAATGTTGGTTTTATGCTCTGAAATGTTTTATGATGACAAGTTGAAACCAGCTAAGAATTTCTAATTTTTTATTCTATTAAGTATTTTATCTGAGATCCCTTGGGGAGCTGTGGAATTGTATTATGCTTTGAGAAATAGATAGTAAAAACATTTATTGAACCTTGTCCAAGGACAGCTTCTGTTTTGTTTTTTGGTGAGTAGCTCCTGAATATGCACAGTGCACATCTCCACATAATCCCTAGCCACTGAGGATTGTCAGATAACCCCATAAAAAGCTTCTCTGCTCCCTTGTCCCCCTCCTCCTACTTTCTCCTTTCCCCAACACAGCATGCCTTGTTAATTATATATTCTTTGTTTTAGTGAGCATTTAATAGCTTAACAGTTGAGTACAGAGATCATGAAAGATTTTAGGGTCAGAAATATAGTATGCTTTTAAGTTGTGATCATCTCATATTATTAAAATGTATAGTATAGTTCTCAAACAGCTAAATTTAGAACTGTAATCTTTGGTAAAGGGGAGGCCCTCACACATCACACATTATAATTCAAGGAGCAAGTGTGTATGGCAGTAAACATTTTGGAATGCAAAAAGTTTTGCTTTGAATTGGTTTTGCTTTGAATTGTATGGATAGTTGTCAGCTTGAGGGGCCTTATAAAAGGGGATTGGAAATTATAGGACATATATGTGAGACTTGTGGAGTTGGCAATAATATGACAGAAGAATATAAACTGTATTTTCTTATTTTGTATATGTGGTTAAAGAAAACATGTACTAGTAATAGTATAAAAAGTAAGGAAGCAAAATCATCCTAACTAACCACAACACTGTCCTTGTGTTCAGCAGGAAATAGCTAACAAATTCATTTTATGTTTTCTATTCTAAAGAAAGCCCTCTGGGCCACAGGGTCATTGGCAACCTTTTCTCCTTGGAGAAGATTTGCCCATTGCAAAATAGGGAAACTGGCACTTGGAAACTGTCATCATAGCAGTTATGTTGAGCAACTGAGGTTGCATTGTTACTTTGTTTAGCCAGTTTTAGTTCTGAGTGTGGGTTCTGAGAGGTGTAGTTCCTAGGCAGGTCATCTAGAAAGCTGTGGGGTTTTTGGGGGGGGTGGTCAGGATTTTGGGATAAAGAACCATATCAAGGGATATATTGTGCTTAAAAGTTGGCACATGCCTCAAGGTAGCATCAATGCAGGGGTCATACTGGAGTTCTTCTAAAAGGTCCTCATAAATGGCTAATTTACACTGTGAAATGTTGACTTGAAGTCTGTGATCTAAGGTGGGGAATGGTGTACAGGGGTCTTGCTGAAATAGCATGACCTGCAAGAAGGACATTTTGACAGATCTACTGTGTATCATTTATCCAAAAATGCTACATCTAGTAGTAAAGAGTTGAGTAAAATCTTTGCATTTCTAAGAAGATTGCATACATGGAGGAAAGTGTCTTCTATGCCTTCTATGGAAAGAAGAGAAATAATAGTTAGAAAGGCCTTGCAGGGATTAACAACTCTATACAATGTTATAAAGGCATCGCGTTCTGCGAATAGTCCTGCATTTTACAAGATGGTTGCATATATTTCAGTAAAATTATACCCTATATTGTTGTTTTCTTATATTCATGTTTTTAAGCTGCTTCCTTATTGAATAGATGCAGTAGATGGCATTTTAAAAAAGATAATTTCTTCCTTTGGGATTTTCTGATTAGCAGTTTTCCAGTGTGTAGTGTACTTTGTTATTAAACATGGAAAAGGTATATTCTTGGGAGACTTTACATTCTTTAGAAATAGTTTTAAATTAATTTGGCATCAAGATTCACATATTAGATGAAGGTGGTTCACAAAATTCAGTATAGCAAAAGCGACTGTATATTTTTAAAATGCTGTTTATTTAAAGAATCTTTTCTTCCCCAGCCAGCTGGAAACCCAGCTGTGCTGCAGTTTGAAGATGGGAAAGTGAAACTAGATTAGAAACTGACCAGTCTAGTGATGAAGACAAGTCTTGGTTATAGATTTAGGGTTTGAATTACTACCTCTAAATAATTACCATTATTTCTTAAAGTGGCTTGTTTCCTCTGCAGACTACAGTTCCTAGGGCAGGAATAGTATCTTTGAAGTATTCTTTCTCCTAGCTTCCCTGCTCCCCCCTCCTCAGTTTTGGTACTGTGCCTGGCTCATAGAAGGACTTTTCATAAGTGTCTTTTGAATGGATGAAGTCAAGTGAAGTTAAAAAAGAAAGCCTCTAGATTTCAACTAAAGCAATCTTAACTCTCAGATCCATGACACTAAGTCCTGTGCTGAAAAGCTGAGTTTGATGATAGCCTTTACCTGTCGCTATGGGAACCTTTTTTTCCAAAGGAATCGTTATCAACTAGAGTACTTAACCACAATGTGCTTAATCATTGTGCTGATTAGTGTTAATGGGATTTGAGCCCTGGAGAATAAAGGTTTTGCTGGAGAAGACTCTTTTTTCTTTTTTGGAGGGTAGATTACCACTGGCCCACCCTCAAATTTAAACAAAAATAAGACAACTATAAGTTTGAATTTACAAACACTTTTGGAGCTAAAGAAGATGATTTATTAACCGTCTAGGTGACTAACTTCCTCTTGGCCTCCACTCAAAGCAAGCGTGCCTCTTTACAATCTTCTATTATCTAGGGCATTGTAATTTTATTTCTTAATAACATTGTTTTTTCTTTATAAATTTGCATTTATATTTTTGGATATGTAGCACATTTATATGGCTCAAAATTCAGAAAATACATAAGAATATATGGTGAAAAGTTTCCCTCTTAACCCTGTCCTCAGAGCTACCCAGCTCTAAGGCTCTTTTGTAAAATAACTTATTCTTGCAGTGTTTATTTCTCTAAATTCACAATGTTTTTCAGAGCAGTCCAATACTTTTAACAGATGGAGAATGTTAATTAGTAAGCTAATTTTATGGTAAATACTTCCTAGGTAATATGTATTTTTTTTTGTTAACCTAGCCCAAGATCTTAACTATCTCTGAGTCCTTTTCTATCTCAAGTATCTAGTCAAAGGATCCTCTTTCTCCCTTAACGAGTACCTTTCCTCACAAATATAATCCTGGGGTCAGGAACGAAAATACCAATTTATTTTTCAGACACTTTGCCATTAAGAAGGTGTCTATAACAATGAATTTTGTAAGACTTAACTGGCATGCTCAAAAGAGAGATCCAAAGGTTTGTCACTGAGATTTAGGTCTGCAGCTTTGTCCATACAGCAGTTCCTACTGGTTCACACACTTGGTACTCTCACAGTAGTGTCCATGTGGGAAATCATACCACAGATGGAAAGAGAAAAACTACACAGTGCATGATTACTTTGATTTTCATTCAGAAGCCAAAGACCCCAGTTGCTGATGAAGAGTTTGATTTTGACCATCTTCATGCACAACTGGTCTGATTCCAGGAGACTTAGCTACCCAAATACTGTTTTGAAGTACAGTTTTAAAGTTAGCAGATTTGAACATAGTG